CGGTCGGCAGCTTTGATGGCCGGTCAGCCACTGCTTCCTCCAATTTCTCCTTTTGCTGCAGCAGAGCACAAACAGAGGCATGACAATGTATTTGCAAGGGAATGTGTGTGCAACCACACTCCTTATCATGTCTGAAGCTCAAAGAAGTGTAGTGCCCGGCTCTCGAGCCATCAATCACGCATCCCAATGCATGATGGCCAAAGAGTCAAGCTTGCACAATGTTGATGAATGCACAAATAACACATAGGACTCGATGAACCTCCACCTTATCATACATGATCAAAGGTGTCGGTGACATAAGGAATGAGACACGTTTCGTCACTTTGAGTATGAAACGTCCCTCGTTCCACATGTTTGGATTAATGTCCGACCCAAACACAATGCAGTGCAACACATATGTAAACAATATGCTATGCAAACCACATGCTAATCTTGACATATTAAGGTCGTATGCACAAGACTCTTAACATGCGAACAATGCATGCAAGGCATGTTAGAGGGTCTAGAGCATAAGGCTAGTGAAGTATATTACACATGAGGCATGCACTATCAATCTTGAATGGTCAAACCAAAAAAGTGGCCAAAACTCAACAAACCTTAGGCACAAAAGCAAGGAATGCATACTCAACTCATGGCTCGTAAGCAAGGCACAAAGCTCAACCCTCAAATACAATGAAAGAGTGATACACACGGGAGTATAGCAAAGTCAAAATCTCTGAAATTACATTCCAAATGATGCCATATCATGCACATGTCACAAATGAGGCATGCCAAGAGGCTCAAGGCTTAAGGCTAGCAAAGGCACTTGCACCATAGCCATATCAAGCAGGCCCCAAAGGGCCAAGATAATTCAAAACAGTCCTAGAACATGCCAAAACAAGGCCAAAAACATGCTTGAACATAGCCAACATATGCTAGATTAAAAGGCCAAAACACCAAGTAAGCTAGGCCAACGAGCATGATTACACTACAAGTGTAAGAAGCACATGAGGGATGCTCTAACGAACCAAAAACAGGGTTATATCAGGATCGAAAACTCACAAAAACATGCTCAAACTGAGCCTTAAGAGGATAGAAATACATGCTCACTTGGTAGGCCCTCTATGCGTACAAACAAGACATAAAGAGAGAGGACCACCCCCTCCCATTTTGAGCCTCAAAACCAACTTTCTACCACTAAAATTCCACTGAGTTTCAGTGGTAGAAAGGCCAAACAAAGGTCACAACAAAGGCTAGGAATGGTGGCTCAAGGGGCTTTACAAGCCATAGAACAAAAGAGGGGGAACATCCCCTAACCAAGGAAGACTCAAACCCACATTTCAAAGCCTTAAAAATAGAGTTTTAAAGAGGCTAAAACCATCCTTAAAGTAGCATGAAAAGGTGGTTAAGCTATTAATCAAAACAAAGCTTAAAAGGGGTATATGCTTACCCTTGAAGAAAAACAGCAAGTTAGCAACCTCTGAGGCAAACCAAGCCACAATCACTCAAATGCAACCTCCAAGAACCTCAGCTCAAGAGTGAAGGTGTTTGAGTAGGTGTTTGTGTGCCAAAGTGTGAAGAAAAGGCACTTTTGGTTCAAATATAGTGCTAATATAGAGAGAGGGATATGTTTAGCCCTAATGTAATTTTTCTAAACCTCTAAAAGGGGAGAGTAGCCTCCCCTTATATAGAATCACAAGCTTCAAGCTTGTTTGACAAGCTAAGGGCTTCTTACAATCTCTCCATACACGTGTATATAGGATGCTTTCTGTGCTCACCAGCTGGCACAGCTGGCAACAAAATATCTGCAAAAGTAAAGAAAAAGGCCTCAGCCAAAAGATATGACCGACTGGCCATTAAAGTGGCTGATCGGCCATCAGTGAAGCCGACCGGCCACCACTAATGGCCGATGGAAAGAGGACATGTCCGATGGGCACAGGGCCTGGCCGATGGGTTGTAGGGCTGGCCAGCAGGCCACCCCCTTCCCTCAAAAACAAAGCCACAAGCTTTTGGTCCACAACCAAGCACAAAACAAATAAGGTGAGAGACTCCCAGGCAAGGCGCACAGCCGAGACCTTTAAGGACTCAAAACGAACACAAACATGAATGATCATCGAGTGTTCAAACGATGACGTCCAAGTCTTGAGGACGGTCAAAAATGGGGTGTCTACACATGACTTTCAAGGCAGACCATTTTATCATCCTAGACACTTGCACTCCTTTCAAAGCATATCATTTTATCATCCTAGACACTTGCACGCCTTTCAAGGCACATCACTGGGACACTGTCAAACTCAGGCATCTGTACACCTTTGAAGGCACATAATTTTATCATCTTAGGCATTGACACGCCTTTTGAGGCACTAACATTGGCATGCCTTTTGAGGCATAATTATTTTATCATTTATCATTGGCAATAACACACAAATCATCTAGCATGGAAAAATTATTCCACAAAACCACATTTGGCCTCATGACATAATAACTGGTAAATTTTGGCACCCACTTGGCACACTTGGTAAACCTTGGCAAATTCTGACACATTTTGGCAAAACACTTGGCAAACAGTTGGCAGACTTTGGCACCCACATGGTAAAAACTTTGAAGCATTTAATGCATTTTGGTTGACACCTGGCATTGCTTAATACATCGTGGTAAATTTGGAACCACTAGGAATCACTTGCATCTACTAAACTTCATGCCTGGCCAATGCGAGCTTGGAAAGGAATCGCTTCACATTTAAACTCCCATGTCTTGGTGATGTGAGTGTGGAATAGCATCTAAACCTTCATGTCTTGTTGATGCGAGCATGGAAAGGAATCACTTGTTATTTAAAAATGCCATGTTTTGCCGATGCGAGCATGGAATAACATTTAGAACACTATGTTTTACCAAGCATGGAAAGGCACTACTTGGCATTTAAATTCCCATGTCTTGCTGATGTGAGTGTGAAATAGCATTTAAACCTCCATGTCTTGCTGATGCAAACATGGAAAGGCACCACTTGGCATTTCAATTCCAATGTCTCACCGATGCGAGTGTGAAATACCATTTAAACCTCCATGTGTTGCGGATGCGAGCATAGAAAGGCACCACTTGGCAATGAAAATTCTTACATCTTGCCGATGTGAACATGTTATAGCATTTAAACCCTCACATCTTGCCAATGTGAGTGTGGAAATGGCACCCAACAAACCCCCATGTCTTGCCGATGTCAGCATAAAAAAGGCACCACTTGGTATTTAAAACCACACGTCTTGCCGATGCGAATGTGAAAATGGCATCGAATAAATCCCCATGTGTTGCCGATGCGAGCGTGGAAATGACATAACATCCCGATTTTGCCGATGCGAGCATGGAACGACACGGAATAAATTTTGCATCTTACCGATGAGAGCGTGTAATGGCATTCAATAAACCCCGTGATTCATTAATATGAGCATGAGATGGCACCACCTAGTATTTAAATACCTCCATGACTCATCGATACGGGCATGGAAAATCACCATGCGGCTCTTAATGAAACCTTGACTCATTGATAGTAGCTGTAGACACCCCATTTTTGACCGTCCTCAAGACTAGGACGTCACCGCTTGAACACTCGGTGATTACTCATGTTTGTGTTTCGTTTTGAGTTCCTGGAGGTCTCGGCTACGCGCCTTGACTCAGGATCTCTCAACTCGACTGTTCTATGTTTGGTTTTGCACCAAACACTTGTGTCTTTTTTGCTTCTAAGGGTAGAAAGTAGCTTGTTAGCTACCCATGACACCCGCCGGCCTTAGTTTGAGGCCACCGGCTATGTTTTGAGGCTACCGGCTATTGGTGAATTATACCATTGGCCGGTCGACATTCAGTATGGCCGGACGGCCATCTGTTTGGCCGGTAACCTGCTTTCCTGGCCGGTAACGCCTTTTTACCTTCTTCAGGCATGGTGCATGCCAGCTGTGCCAGCTGGAATGCACCAAACCTACCCCGGGGCATACATATGGCTGTTTTGCCCCTTTTGCCCCCATTTGGTCAAAGCTTCTGGAGGAAGCTTGACCCTTTGGCAAAGCTTCCTCAAGAAGCTTGCTAGCTGTCCTAGCTTCCTCAAGAAGCCTTGCCCCTATTGCCCCGTTTCACTTTTTTATGTTTAGCTTCTTTGAGAAGCTTCAAAGCTTTCCCTTGTCTATATAAGAGCCTCTCCTCCTCCTTTGTTAGGGTTGAGCAAAAAAACCAGAGCTATACACATGTATATCTGATATATATCATCCTCTCTCTCTATATCTCCCTCTCTCTCTTCATTTTGTGTGGTTTGAGGGCCTAAAGTGTGTGTTTGTTCTTAGTTTTGCACACAAACACACACTACTACACCATACTTCGAATTTGAGAGGCTTTGGGGGTTTGTTCTTGAGGTTTTGGACTGGTTTTGATCAAAAGAAGAAGGCTGCACTTGCTGTTCATCAAGGGTTCTTCAAGGGTAACTCTTTTACTTTAGATTCCCCAATCTTGCACTAGACTTTTTCCTATCTTGCTCATTGTTTTAGACTTTGTGTATAACTGAAAAAAGTCTTGTATTCGCATGCTTAAGATACCTCATTACGGTCACTTTGGTGTTGGGGGTCGATCTCCCCCTCTTAGGCCTTGTTTGGCCCTTTTTTGTGCTCTCTTTGTTGAGCTTTGAATACTATTGTGTTTTGGCCTTCTCGCCACTGAAATCCAGTGGATTTTCAGTGGTGATGAAGGGGTTTTGAGGTCTTGCATAGGGGAGGGACACCTCTCTCCCCTTGGTCTCTCATTTGTGCATGTTTTTGGCTCATAAGGGTAGCATATGTGCTTGGTTGTTTTTGACCCCATTTCAGAGATTTTTGGATGTTGTTTGGTCATATGTTGCCTCTGTTTTTGGTCGGATTAAAGGTACCTTGCATGTATAATATACTTGCTTTATATTCCCTTATTTTGCCTAGAAGAGCATCATGCATTTAGCCCACTATGCTCTCATGTTTTGGCCTAACTTTGTGAAGTTCTTAGCCATGACACTTGAGAACAGAATGCTTTGCTCAGCTCCTGGATCAGTTCTCTGACAAGTGTTTCTCTGAAAGGTTCCCATATTTTCTTCCAGGTTCAGGGAATTAGAGGAGTGGCTTCTGTGTTCCATAAAGGCTAATTAATGTTCCTGCTGCAATTTAAATCAAACCACCAGAATTAGTAATGGATCTATAGCAATTTTCTTCAGTATATTGTAACATGGTTAGCAATGTGCAAGAATAATAATATTTACTTATCAAATATATACCAAGTATATTAATCAACTATGAGTTTCCAAAAAAATCTTTTAGTTACCAAGAATATATTAACGACGAACATCATGCATCATTTAAAAATTTTACATGCCACATGGAGTTCCAACACGTGGATAAGCGTGCCCTCGAAGTGTCGGTGTCCCATACATATATAACACAAACACAAAACCCAATTTGAAGTGTCGGTGCTCCATAGCATATTCATATAAGGGAGTTGATTCAATTATGCATTCAAAGGTTCATAAGATTAACCAGAAGAGAAGGAAGTTATGAGAAGTTGCAAGAAAGCCAATCCCCCAACCTCACCCCCACACTCCATACTGAGAAAAATAAATTCTAAAAAATAAGCAAATGCTACACAATAGCTAAAGGGCTACATGAATAAATGCTTACATATGTGAAAAGAACCCTTAAAACTCAGATTCATTGACAATAGACAGAAAGACAGAGGTTTTGAAAAATACCCACAAAACTCAGACCCACTGACAGAGAGAAAGTTTGGAGGCAAAGAACTACACATTAGGATAAAGATCTAAATCTATGCATGCATAAATGGTAATTAAGATGATAAAAGAGTCACAAAGACATAAATGTTTGGATCATCAATCTTTGGACTTCCAAACTTGAAGATTGATACATTCCTGAAACTAAATGATTTCACAAATAAAACTATATGGGGAAAACAATAAGAAAGTTTACAAGAATTAATCAAATAAAATCGCCTCGCCAGAAAATTGGTGTCAGAACCCTCCTAAACAAAAAATATTGTAGAATGCTTTGTGTCACTCACCCAAACATTAATATCTTTGAAACGGAAAGGTATTGGGGTGCCTTCGGAATTTTTAGATCACAAGATCACCTCAAACCCCTTAGGAGTTCAAAAACTGCAGCCCTACAGCACACACATCAATGAACACAAGACTGTGTGGGTTCACAAACACTAAATCATCAAATCGAGTGTATATGTGTGATTTTCAATTAATAGGCTTGAAGATTGATACATGTTTAAATGAATATATATATAAAGAAGAAGATTAGAGTCAAGTAAGCAAGGAGTCTGCACATGACACAAGTTTGCAGTGATTAGGAGGGACAGGAGGGAGGCGAGAAAGATTTTTTTTTTTTTTTTCCTTTCTTTTTTATAAATATTTTACAGATTTTGGATATAAGAATGCCCACAGATAATGGTTGATCATCAAGAAAAATGCTAAGAAAAAAAATTGTAAGATCACAAAATTACTTCTCCATTAGAGATAGAAAGAAATCATCCACAATTAATGCCAATAACACTGTTAGATGCCAACACCTCAACGTCCAAATCATCAAGAAGCAAAAAATAGAAACCCAAAAAGGGTCAGATTTAAATAGATTGATTGAAAATGAAAAATCACAGATTAACAACAAAAAAAAAAACACTGAATAAACAATGACAGATCAAGTTGTCAATTAAAACAAATGGGTTAAAAATCCAAGGAATTGAAAAGGATCACTGAAACAAAAACTTAAGTACGAAAACTAGATTAATAATCCGAAAGCTTCACAAAAAATAAAGATAAAACATATGGGTATGAGAGATTATACCAGAAAGAATATAATGGAAGCAAGAAGAATTCACAAAGAGCTCTGGTCCTGGAGTTGGAGTTCTCTCTGCCTCACTCTCTCTCTCTCTCTCTCTCTCTGTGTTTGTGTGCTTCTCTCTCTCTCTAACGCAGCGAAGATATTGTCTTGGGTGGGTAGGGATTCTTATAATCTCGATGGTTTGGAACTGCCAAAGAGGAATCGAAACCATAATTGCATTCCAAAACAGGCAACCCCATTCACACTCAATTGCAAACAGAACCAGCGAAGCCATCGTTGTGGCTGTACATTCAATACACCCCAACCCTTTCTCTCTCCTCTCGCTCTCGCTAGGGTTCAAGCCAAAGCTCTTCTTCGTCGCTATGCTTTTCCCTCCTTCATGTCCATCTCTCTCTTTTCGAACTTGACGAGCGTAATGCGCGTGTGTGTACGCTTGGTCATCATCAGTTAATTGTCTTCACATATTCACTTACCCTTTTTGCTTTTTTTTTTTCTTCCTTAATTACAAATATAATTTCTAAATTTACTTAAAATATTAATTACCTTCCGTTACCATTCCCTTCAAATTTCTAATAATATAATAAATTGTTTTTTTATTAATCTACATAAAATCAATTAATAGTTTTCAATTATATAATAAATATATTTCAATTAATCGTTCTAAGAATTTTATTGTTATATAATAAATTAATTTAAAATTTTATTTTTTTTATTAATTCTTAGATGACAAATTATAATAATGAAGTATTTATGATTGTCAGGGTTGAATTTGTAATCTATCCTTTTTTCAGTTTTTATTATTTAAAAGTAAATAACATTGACTTCTACTTTTAATAAATCTAAATAAATCAAAACTAATGCAAATAGTGTGAAATACAAAGAAAAAGAAGGAAAATTATACATTTTATTATATTTAACTAACAATATATTGATTAAAAATGAGGTAAAAATTAAAATCTTAAAGAAATTCAATATAATTATGTCAAAATTATAAAATTTGTTATATTTCTTTTAAGTGTTAGGGAATATCAGTCTTATTTATAGTTTTTTTTTTTTTTTTTATAAGAACTATTCAATTTGTGATATGCAATTACTCTTAGGAGGCAACTGTATGGATTCTCACAATTTGATTTTGGTTTCTTAAAATTGTGTTATTTCCAGGATTTTGCTTCTTTTTTTTTCTTACTCATTTTTTGGGAGTGACGGTGTATTGTAACGAATTAAACTATTTGAACTCGAATAGTATTTTGTTTATTAAAATTTTGTTTAAAATTAATTGTTATATGAACAAATTATAAGCTTGAATATATTTTAAATTCGTTAATTTTCTAAGTTTGACTCGAATTTGATTCAAACACGATAAAAAAAGTCAAGCTACTTGATGAGTTCAGTTTTGATTAAAATTTATTTGACATCGGTTTAGAAAATAAAAAACCTAACCTTAAATACATTTTGATTTTTTTAAGTTTTTGAGTCAAATTTAAACAAGTTATTACCCAGTTTGACTCAAAAAAAAATTTAAGAACAATATGCATTTAGGATTATCATTGTTATTCATTTAATTTATTATTTTACCGAATTGTGTAACGTTTCTATGAGTCATGCTATACAATAAAAACTTATTACTTTATTTGACTTACCTTTTTTACAACAATAGGCATTTAGGAGTATCTAACTCATTGAATTCATCATTTACTGTATTGTGCAATATTGATATTTTAGGAGTTTATTATATAATTTTTAGAGTAATGTTTAGATATCCTAAAAATTTGACTAAAAATTTTATCAAGTGTCTTACATTTGTGTGGAATCTACACGATGTGAGTCTCATGTAAATCTCACATTTATGTAAAATATTTGGTAGAATTTTTTGTAAAATTTTTAAAAATTTTAACATTTTTTATAATTTTGATAATCTTATTTTAGTTTGCCGATTGTCTTTTACACAACATCAAATTATTTTCATGTAAAAAGTGGAATTAGTAGTTTGGTAATACCTTTAAAGAGTGAGAAATTTAAAATCAATAAACTATTTCCATTTAATTATAAATTGAAATTCAGTTTAAATTTTTGTTTTGTAACAATGTAATTCATGAACCTATCATTAAATGAGACAATAAAATAGCATGAGTCATCCATGATATAAAAAAATAATCACTTTAATTTAGCGACTGTTTAGAGAGTAATTAATATAGTTAAAAAGTCACTGCAACTTGTGGTGGCAGTAATAGATAGCGATGATAGTAGTTATTTTGTGACAATGATAATATGGTGGTTGAAAGGGATGGTTGTGGTGGTAGTTAAACTTAGGGAAGACTAATTTATGATGTTTTCATGATGAAATAACATACTTATTTCTTAAGTTGGATTCGTAGGGATGGATATAGGGCGGATATGGGTCGGTTTCATACTAAACAATAACATTTGGAGTCATTTTCCAAACTTATGCCTCGTTTGGGAACCCTCCATTTTAGTCAAAAAGTTAACAACTCATACAAAAAAGTCAAAGATTCTCTTTTCTCTCTACTTTTTGCACATTTTTTCGTAAAAAGTCAATAAGTCATCCCAAATATACTAGTTTTTTTTAGCTCATATTTTAGCCAAATAGCCAAAAAGTTACTAAATTAACCTGTTCCCAAACGAGGCCTTAGGGTTGGTTTGGGAAGTGGGTTGGCTCTTTGGCTTTTTGACTTTTTTGGCTATTTTAGCCTGAGTTAAAAAGTTTGGTTTGGGAATGACTTTTTGGCTTTTTGACTTTTTTGACTTTTTTTGTGAGAGAAGAGTGTAATAATTATGGGTTTGATGTGATGTTTTGTTTTTGTGACTAAAATAACATATTTTATGTTTTGTGGCTAAAATAGCCACAAAAGCCCTTGCCAAACGGAGCCTTAGGTCTGTCCGAGATTAGGCCTGTACTTTATTTTCAAGTCCGTCCAAAAAAAAAAAAAAATTTAAAGAAAATCTCAATTCCATCTATAGATATTACTTAATGTAAACAATTTTATTTTTTTTATATATTTTAAAATAAAATGCATAATCAATTTAATTATTTGAGTGTCTTTTTAACCTATTCAAGACTAGTAGTTTAAATTTTATAATTAATTTTTTACATAATCATTAATACATATTTTATGCCAATAAAAAATAAAATTAAATAATGTAAAACATATATATAAATATGTATTATATAATCAATAATGCTACATTCTATTAATTTATCACTCTTCATTATCTATAATAACATGGTATTGAGATTAGACCCTACATGATGAAATGTTTAACAAATAAAAATTAAATATTTATCAGACATATCGTCAAAGGTGATTTTTAAAAATAATAAATTAAATATTTTAAGCATTTTTCATTGTCTAATATAGTTTGTGAGCAGACCTGACTAGGCCAAATTGGACTTAAAGCACTCTTTTCAAACTCAGCCCCAAGTATAATTAGGCCTAAAAAGATTGCCCAACACAACCTATGGGCTTAAATCATAATCTCACAAAATGTAATTGAACCCATGCCCATATAGATGAACGAATAAGTATTCTAGATCTTGTGTTTTTGTGGGCTGGCTAGCTCTCAAAAGAGGTTGGTTTGGTTTAACCTATGCAGGTGGCATTATCAAAGATCAATCAGGGCATTGGACGATGGGTTTTGTAGAAATATTTTGGTTTTTTTTTTTTTTCCTAATATTGAGGTAGAGTTATGGGCCTTGAGCCTAAATCTTACAATAGAGTGGAACCTTGTTAATTTTGAAATAGAAACTAATGCAGAATTTGTTAAACTCGTCATCTTGGTGGGATAAATGACTTTCATCAACTTAATAATTTCATCTCCGATTGTAAGTGTACAGGTCGCCAAATATCCGACGTTATCCGTACTCCTCGTGTCCAAGCTGCGCCTTCCTCCGATCGACCTGAGAACACAACGAAGGTGGACTACCCGGCGGGTTGCTGCTGAAAAATCCCTCCAACAATTAAGTCAGCACACACTTAGAGAAAGAGAGAGAAGAGAGGGAAGACAATGTGTTAGTTTTTCTCTCACTAGAAAATGTTCCACACCTCAATATGGGGGCATAGTCACGCTTATATACTTTTTGCGTGTGCCTCTGTGCGTGCCTCTGCGTCCATTCGCCTGGCGACGCGTGGACCTGCTATCCTATCCCACTTTCCCACGTGTCAGCGTAAATATAGCTAAAACACCACCTAACCAAATGGCCAAACGGCGTTGGCGCGAACGGACAGCCTGGCGTCGCCCCCCTCTTCCTACGACCGCACTACTTCCGAGATATGCAATGCTCTGAACCGTGCTCTGTTATGACTGAGCTCGGCCGCCATCCGTTATGACATTCATTACTTCCACTGTGGCTTAGCCGCCCTCAACTATGACCGAGCTCCTGCTTGGTTGGATTGGTCTGTGGAGGATTTGACCCACCTAACTCAACGAGCAAATAAAATGAACTGGGCCCGTAGTCTGAAATTACCCCGGCCAAATCGGACTTAGGCCTTGACCGAGTACACTACCACCGAATTAGCCCAACCCAGCTCGGCCCAAACTTGCCTGGTCTAATTTTCCCGGCCATTACCACGGCCCAAAACCAGATTATGAAATCTCCATCTCAATTGCCCCTTAATTCCGTCCGTGCTAGAGTGATCGGGATTACATGCTCCGGCTGGGGTCATTCATCTGCTCGACCTTATATTGCAAGCCATTCACTGTGCTAAGTCCCACGCTCGGTCTTATGACTTGCTCGGTCGGCGCCTCGACTTACCAACCTGTCCTTTCAATACTGACGCCGCTGTCGTTACAGACGTGTATCGCCCATTCATTGGCCACGACCAGCCAACCCAGCCGCCTCACGCTGTCTCTTTAGATTCAAACTTTGGCGTCTCTCTTCTCCTCTTATATTCGTCGTTCTTCTCTTCATATCCCTTCCTCTTCTGTTCATCTTCAGTTCTCAAGCAACCCTGCGAACCAGAGCTCTCGTCTCTCACTCATTCTACTGAGATTGGAGCCTCCCCGTAAGCCCATTCTTCACCTTCGTCGTCATTGAGGGCCTCATCCTACTGCTTCGAGCCACCGTCGGAGCCTTAACCTATAAGTCCTCAACCCTCCACTACTCTTCATCCGTTATTCATGTTTTTATTGTATACTTGGGCCTGTGACCATCATAGTTGAGTCTAGGGCATTATGACAGTAGGTTTTAGGACTTCGAATGAAGTTAACCTAGAGTGTGGTCATCAAAAACCATTTTTGCCCCTTCTCTCTTAACTGTTCATCATCTTCTGTGATGAACACGCGAGGATCTGGGACTGACCGGGTTACATATCTTCGTTTGATCCAAAATCATAAGTGGACCAAACTAGTTCCAAGTTTTTAGGACTTAGGCGAGAGCCGAGTTAAGAAAGCTCTGGGACGCTCGACCA